CAGGGCAAGGGGTCTCGAGTTCGATTCCCGGGTAGGACAAAGGATAACCCGATTTTTTAAAAATTCTGGAATTGAGCCTGGTATATGGCAATAGGCTCACACTCTATGACATGGGACTCATAACATAAATAGTGAACAGTAGGTGTTACGTTGTACAGTGGCATTAAGTGCCGAAATGTGCACCTCTGCCTACCCCTTCGGGGTAAAAAGGCGTGATGTTATGTTATATCACCATGCTTGCTCTATGCGTGTTAGTAATTTGAAACTTATAATTACAAATTATAAACCCAAGTTTCCTCACGATGTTTTTCTTTACCGTTTGTCAGTGGTATCTAAAAAATCTTAGAAAGTACATATAACTCGGAAAAAGTCACATTGGTACTTGCCGTTAGTAGGTTTCAAACCTGCGCCCTTATCCATAAGAAGCAGGCGTCTTAAACCTGCGGGCCATAACAACCAAATACATAGATAATATATCATCATGTCCTTTTCAAATAACTAAATAATTATTAACAGTTCGTTCGTTAACAGTTGAAGCGCCATTTTATGTTTTGATGCAAAATGAAATTAATACAAGTTTCATCGTTCAATCAGTATTTAATATTATAATGTATAGCTACTGCAATTTATATACTTTGTCACCAACTATTGCATGCCTAACATGGTGGAGCAGTGCCAGATCACAACAACCTTTAGAACAACCTTTGTAACCACTGTCTCACAATAAAGATCTTTGACTTTGATTAGAAAAGGCAACTAAAACAACTAACTACCATTAACTAACTACTGTTAATTACTATTTTACCTCAATCTTCAATAGCTTGCCAGCTTTTCACGATACCAGTAACATCACAAGCCCCTGAACTAATAAGCGGCGTACAAACGTGTTCCCGCCCAGGGATCGAACTCGTGAACTGTAGGAAGTCAAGTGGATAGGCACAGCGCCAATTAGGTCGGCAATTCATCGTTCATTCTTTCACTATTACAAGCTTGAAGGAGTTTGTGTGTCATCTTTTAGTAGACGGTTGAAATCTACTTTTAAAGTTCAGTGTAATTTATATATACTTTGTTATTTCTATAATTCTCAATAGGTAGGGTAGGCAGAGGTGCACATTACGACGCTTAATACCACCGTACAAAACCTACTTTTCACTATTTATGTTATGAGTCCCATGTAATAGGGGGTACGTCTATTGCCATATACCGGGCACAATTCCTGACTCCGTGCTACTACTGAAACGTTTTTAAAAATCCATTAAATCTTTGCCCGACCCGGTAGTCGAACCCGAGACCCCTTGCCTGGCAGTCGCACTTGCATTGCACTCGGCCGACAAAGCAGTCATTTTTTACATAAGATAATAATACATTTTACATAAGATAATAATACAGTTACATAAGATAATAATGCATGATTAGTGATGTGCCACTGAGAACGTTCTCGTTGCCGGCAATATTGCCAGTGAGAATATTCTCAAGAAACTAGAACGCTCCCGGGAATATTCTCAATGTTCTCAACAATATAAATTTAGTTACTTTGTAATTCGATGTTTTTTACATTCATAGATGTTATATGTACCTACAGTGTTTCTGTTTTATTACCTCGGCGCTAGGACTAGTCCTTAGAAGCAAGGTATGAGTGAGTAAGTGAGATATTACAGTCCTGCTCATTCTTTTCGTGGAGAACGCGCGCCGCGTTTCGCGTTACTTGAAAATCAGTGTGTTTCTAACTTTTAAAGGCTTAACACGTTGCGTTTATCACTGTTATTTTTTAATTTTAACAATGAGTAAAAGAAACCCAGTGTTCCATCATTTTACGCGTATAGAAGATAAAAAGGCATACGGCAGAGTTCTTAAGCGACGAAATATCAAAAATTATAGTGGAACTAGGGGTTGAAAAGTTTGTGGCCATAGTGACGGACAATGCAGCAAACATAGTTAAATGTGGGCGGTTACTCAGCAATAAATACGATAATGTTGTGTGGATTGGTTGTGCAGCTCACACTCTACATTTACTCATTGGAGAATTTTGAAAAATGACAAAATAAAAGAAATATTTTCATTCATTGTTTCTATTGTGAAATCGGTCACGCAATCACATCCCTTGAATGCGGAGTTCAAAAAAGTTGCACAAGAAAACTCTGTGACAGTATCCCCTAATCTTACCAGTCAAGACACGCTGGGGCAGTTACTTACGCTGCATTGAGAACTTTAGAAAATCAAAATCATTACTACAAATACAACAGAGATATGCATAAATATGAAAATATTTTGGATGAAGCTATATGAGTTGAAATAGAGCGGCATGCAAACATTTTTAAGCCAACAGTAGATTTGGAAAAATTCATTTAGTTCACCAGGCGTTTACAGAAATCGAAGATTTGCTTCATTGTTAATTTTTAGATGTTTAGTTCTGATTCGATATTTTTTAATCATAGTCCGTTGATTTCAAATAGCTGTTGAATTATTTTTAGTTAGTAACTTTAGTTTTTAGTCACCTTTTTAGTACATGTTTGTCAATATTGTAGTAATTAGTGAAATTGATGTTTTCTAGTCACATTAAACGGAGTTGATTGCGAAATATTTTATTATTTTGACCATTTTATTTGTACCTAAAACAAATATATATTTAATTTCAAATAAACGAACATTTTTAACCGTCCATTATTTCCATACGTGTAAAAAGAAAGTGCTGTCATCGTCCATATCAATTAAACAATATAACACAAAATTTTTTTTATCAAAGGTACAGTAATGCTGAGAACATTGCCGAGAAAGTTCCCGAGAATATTCTCGAGAATATTTGCTAACACTGGGAATATAGTCTTTTACTGCAAATAAAGTGTATTTTTTATACTCAATAATCTGTTGACTTCATTTGATACTATTTTATTTTAGAAAAAAATGGTTGTTCCCATTAGATAAAAATGATTCTCAGTCATTCTCACTTAGGAGAACGTTGCCGGGAACGCTGCCGGCAATATTCTCAGGTAGGAGAACGTTCTCGAGAACGGCACATCACTATGCATGATACAGTAAGAGTAACCACATCACATTCACAATCACACACGTACCATATTATAAACCGCAAATGAATAACATTTACACCGTCCGAATAACACAATAAACAAGGCCTCATAAAGCAGACACTTCACTCCACTCGTCCGAAACTGGAAACGAACAAACAACACTGAATATAATTTAAACTATTTGCACCTAAAAACGTTTTCACTAGTTTACAAAATGTCGGCGTGGCAGAGAGAGCGCTTAACAACATTAAGAGTCAACAAACCATTTTAAAATGTTATTATTGTGTGCGGCAAACTGTTTTTAAGTTTTGTTTATATGTACTCTGTGTTTATCACACCTGTGTTCGTTGAAATTCATGAATAATATGTGTTTTTTTTTCTGGTACGGGATGCTAACGTTTTTTGCAGCCATATGGAACTGGACAGCCTTTTTAAACGGAGTGGTCTTTGACGTTTGGTCGCAAGTGCGATTACCGGGCAAGGGGTCTCGAGTTCATTAGCTACCTGCCAATAAAACCGCATCAAAATCAGTGCAGCCATTTCAGAGATTAGCCATTACAAACAAAATAGACAGAGACAAAATTCTAAAAAATATTATTTTGGTATGTGTTTCGTATGAACTATACATATATTCATATACATGTAGTAGTAAAATGCAGTTGTTTTAATATTACAAACAGATACTCAAATTTCATTTATCCGTATAGATTAAAATTCAAAGAACTGTAGATATTTTCATTACGTTTAGTTTTTTAAACTAGCTCAAACAAATATAATAAAAATAATAATAAAAATCTTTTATTTTTAGGCGTCGACAGCCCAAAGAGTGTTAGTAAACAGTACAAACTTAAAAATCTAAATTAGTAGTAAGTAGTAACACACCAGTACAAAAATAAAATATAATAATGGTAATAATATTTGCTTATTCTGAAATGATAAACCTGACAATTATTATAGGTATATCGACATTGTTTATGGTCCGATATAAGTTTGACAGACAGGGGCTTAGGTCAGTCTGGCTAAGTTTAGTCCACCTGGGAGACGCGCGGGACCTAATTGCATTCAGCCTGCTACAGCAAGTTGAGAGTCTCAGGGGCCTGTTATTAAGTCAAAGTTTTATTTCAAACTTGCAGCTGAACCCTCGTTGTAACTAGTATAAAAATTAGCTGTATAATAAGACGTTTCTTTACTAATGGTGTAGGAGTATTTTTAACATAACATCATCACATCTTTTATGCCCGAAGGGGTAGGCAGAGGTGCATTGCAGCACATAATGCCACTGTACAATTTAATACACAGTTTTCACTATTTATGTTATGAGTCCCATGTAATAGGGGGTGAACCTATTGCCATATACCGGGCACAATTCCAGATTCCGTGCTACTACTTAGATTTTCTTTAAGCCCAGTAATACTTTGCCCGACCCAGGAGTCAAGCCCGATACCTCTAGCCCGGCAATCGCACTTGCAACCACTTGGCCAACGAGGCAGTATTTTTATACCAATTTATATCTTCAGTTTTTTAGAAAATTCGCAATGGCTTACTGTTTAGTCTCTATCTGGCTGGGCGATCTGAGATGAAATACATCTAACCACAATCAACCTATTCGGGACTTGAAGACACCCAAGCCATCCATGTCCTTCATAAAACCTGTGTTTAGGTTTAACATAGAGTACCTATAGACTCTTAAGGCAAAACCTCCAAGTCAGGAAATGGATGGGATATTTACAACAAAGTGCTGAAGTCATTCTCATTTATTTCAACCCGTATTACTTCATATAATTTAAAAATTTTAGTTGAACTTAAATACCGTACCATCTCTGTTATTTTACTACTAGAACTACACTTATGCGCAACTTGAAATCGAGTAGACTTTCAATATTCGAGAGTAACTGAGCAGTACCCTAAAAGTGTCCCAGTACATTAATTAAACATGTTTCTCTTTTGTTTCCAGGAGGGCGAGCGACTGAGAATATGAACGCGTCACGTCTGCCAGGGTTCAATGACACCAACCGTGAGTTATTTCTTATATCTTACGTATTAAGTACGGTGATTCGACAGAAATGCGAAACTAGAATTAATGGACAGTATCGTGAGATAATTAGAGAGACTGGGTGAAAGAAATGTAGTTAGTCTTTTCTATTGATACCTTCTCGTCAACAGCCTATAAATTGCCCACTGCTGAGCAAAGCCTCTTCTCACACGGAGAAGGTTTGAGCATTAATCACCACGCTTGCTCAATGCGGATTGGCGATTTCAAACTTATAATTAGAAATTATAAGCCCAGGTTTCCTCACGATGTTTTTCTTCACCGTTTGTCAGTGGTGTCTGAATAATCTTAGAAAGTACATATAACTCGGAAAAAGTCACATTCCATTGATACCACCATATGTAAGTAAATATGAATTTCTGTTTGTTAGTCTCGCTAAAATTCGGAAACGGCTGAACCGATTTTGCTAATTTTGGTCTTGAAATGTTCGAGGAACTCTAGGAAAGGTTTAAAATGTGAGAGAAATATTTTTGGGCGGTACATGGTTAGCCGGTTCGGCTAGTTGTCCAATACATATTATGTCTGAATGTATAGATCAAACTAAACAAAGGTATAGGGAAGTTAGATTCCAACTGGGACTGCGGAGAAACGCTAAGTATTCTGTGATTCCGACTTGAAGCTGAAGTTGGATCAATGTGGTTTTTAGTCAGTAAGAGACTGACACTCCCTCTCGCCTCACTGAGGGTGAAAGGAGTCATTGACTGATATTAGCTCTGAAAAAAAAGCAAATGTGTATTTGTATAGGTGCTATTATATGATATAGGTATTGGATATATGTATCACTGTATATATAATTATCTAAGTAAGTATTTATATAGAGTTATTTATTATTCATATTTGCTTAGTCACCTGCCTCTTTAATCTCTGCACCACCTTCAGGTCGACTGAGAGACAATGCCCTAAGCATTAAGTCCACCCATACATATGCTTTTGTATTTAGTCTAAATAAATAAAAATAAATTTCCATGTCCAATTTTGTAGAAATTAAACGACCGTTGATGGTAACGTATTGTCAATTTTTTTTTATTTTCTGCATAGATTAAACAATATAGTTTCCAAAGCCTCTACTAGATGGCACCACATTTATATTTATTTTGTTAGAATACGGCAAATCTATATATATACAAGAAAGTCGTGTTAGTTACACTACTTATAACTCAAGAACGCCTCAATCGATTTAGACGAAAATTGGCAGGGTACCTGCCTGCCAATTTAGAACCAGGAGACGGACATAGGATACTTTTTATAGAATACTTTTTTTTACTTTTTACCGAAAATTACGAATGGGAACGGGGGGAAAATGGGATTGCGCGTACGAAGTCGCGGGCAGAAGCTAGTTTAAAATACAACGTATTTTACCTTCAAACAGAACTACAGACCAACAGTATACGACAGAACACTTATAACAAAAAGATACAAAAAATAATAGTAGAGAACAGTTATAAAAGTCAGTAGGCAGTCTCAAACTGTTGTGGCAAGGCCTCCACCGCTGTCAGGAACACAATGCATTGACAACACTTGTAACCACATGTTCGACACTGAAATGAGCAGCGTTTCAGGCTGCTCTGTGTAACTGTTTTTCAGTATTCCTTTTTTTCATCATTTTGTTTTAAAATTGTTTTTTTTGTAAATCATTTATTCATTTATCATTTCAGACAATATTACAGAGGAAAACGAATTACTAGCATGAGGTACATAGGTACTGCATATCCCTTAAGGGTTTCTTCCTCCAGACCTGTGACATTCTCTTACTGACTAAAAACAACCCCGTTCCTTCTCCTGCACGTCGAGCCGGAGCCCCGGTAATCTGTCAGGTTCTCCACGACTCCGAATCTTACCTTTGGGCCCCATCTGTGGTGGTCTGATGTCTCTTTGAGGCGCGCGCGGAACGCGACGCGCCGTACGCTTGGGTCTGTTTCTGGTCGGACGGGGAGTCACCCATGCTCGCCGTCCGCAGATTTCCGAACCGATACGACCCTCAAACCTTTAAGAAAAGAGCATACTCCTTTTTATAAGTCCGGCAACGCACCTGTGACTCCTCTGGTGTTGCGTGTGTCCATGGGTGGTGCTGATCACTTACCATCAGGTGATCCGTCTGCTCGTTTGTCTCCTATACCATAAAAAAATTAAGGTTGGCCTCTCCCTAGCCCATTAATTAATAAAAATACATAAATGTCGTCCATTTTCTCCTCCATTCACTTCAATTAATTGAAACTTGTCAATTATTTTAATAGAATAAATATGGAGTTTCTTATCAATATGGATGAGTTGTTAACAAGTTCTAATTCAATTTACAAACAATTGTATATATTTTTTTCTTTTATTATCTGTGAAAACTCCGATACGGTTTCTGAGATCATAGATCAAAGGTCTAAAGAAAATCTAGCTTGCTCAGTTGCATAAATATTGCTACATATCCAAAAAGGTTTTTGGATATGTAGCAATATATATAGGTATATATAGGTGTATATATAGGTATATATACACGCAAAAATCTTAGCTTCTGTATATTCTCAATTTTCACATTTTAGTAACAAAATATTAAGCATACACCTTTTATCCCCATCGTATGCAGAGATGCACATTACGACACTTAATGCCTCTGTACAATGTAACACCTACTTCTCACTATTCATATTATGAGTCCCGTGTAATAGTTATGAGCCTATTGCCATATACCGGGCAACTCCAGACTCCGTGCTACTACTGATAAATTTAAAAAAACCAGTAATATTTTGCCAGACCCAGGAATCTAACTCGAGGCTCCTTACCCAGCATTCGCCCTCGCAACCACTTGGACAACGAGCAGTCAACTCATATTATTGCTCAAACTTTGCAAAATTCAATTAAACCTACCTTTCTAGCTTTAGAGCCAAATAATGCGTTAGTATGGGCAGTAATAGTTCCTGTGGCATAAATATATCACCTGCTTTCATCCCGAGGGCACCATAAGAGGTAAAAGGATTATACCATAAAGTTTGTTAAGTCTTATTCCTGTAAGGGTAACGTTAAGCCTTTTCATAAATAGTCTGGAATATCCCCATGGGCCACAAAGAAGCCTTAATGTCCAGGAGCTGAACGATATTTATAATGTCTTTAAATAGTGCGGTTGTTAATATTGGATTAATTCAGGCCTTTCTCATGGTAGTACACTGGTATTCATAAATTATGCTGCTAAGTAACGCGTTACTACTGCGACGACTGTCTCGTTGGCAAAGTGGTCTGCCGAACAAGGGGTCTCGAGTTCGATTCCCGGTGGGGCTAGGGTCTCGAATTGAATTCCCGGTCGAGCAAAGTATTACTGGGTTATTAAAAAAACTCTCAGTAGTAGCACGGAGTCTGAAATTGTGCCCGGTATATGGCAATAGGCTCACCCCCTATTACATGGGACTCATAACATAAATAGTGAAAAGTGGGTGTTATATTGTACAGTGACATAATGTGCATCTCTGCCTACCCCTTCGGGGGTAAAAGGCGTGATATTATGTAGTAGTAACGCGTTAGTAAGAACTTAAGTGTATGAAATCAATTGCTTTCACTAAGCAGCAGACAGCGAGCAGACGCTCGTTTACTAGCTTATGCCATAAAAAATAGTACTATATAATAAACCTATCCCAAAGCATTCTACTCGTCCAACTGATAAAAATTTCCTTGAATTCATTCTGAGTTCTAACACCCAACCAGATACTTATATTCTTACCGGCTACTAAACCAACAAGACGCCCAAAAAATCTTCAACAAAAAAGGTACTTCGCAAGAATGTTTCCCAAAAAAATAAATTCTGTTTTCTCTCCCACCGAAAACCTTGACCCGTTTAACATTATAACAATTGGATGAAGATAGCGGACTTCAAAAGTTTTTAATTCAACAAATTCTTTTATGAATCATTTACAACAGTTGGTCGGACGGCAGGGGGAACTTTTAATTTTTACATTTCCTAAAAAAAAAAATTCGAATGTTCTGGATTCCTTCGCGAAGTTTCTCCCTGATCTGGGACTGAAAGAAAAACATCTTTGTTTTTTATGAAAGTAAGTATAGGCTGTTAAAATGTGCGAACGAATCGGAAGTTTTTTCGATTTCGGGAAATTGTACTCTGTCACAGTTAACTATTCAAACATTGTGCTCGGCTTTCCTTTGCGTGGCCTTTTTATTATGGCGAGTTGTGAACCATGATTGGGATCGATTTCCGAGAAAAGCTACAACATTTTATTTGAAGTTAGTGCTCATTAAGCCATGGGTCGTGTCTTTCCCTTTGTATCTACTGGCTTTCAGAGAAAAGCTATAAATTTTCTCTATCTAAAGTCTAGTTGGTGGTTATACCTATCAGTAGATGGTTACTAGCTGTATACTCAACTGTCGGCTATAGATCATGAGTTATTTATTTCGATACTGGATTAAACTGAATATAACTAGGTATGCCTCATTGGCCGAGTGATTACAAGTGCGACTGCCGGGCAAGGTGTTTCGGGTTTGATTCCCGAATCGGGCAAAATATTACTGGGTTTAAAATAAAAATCTCAGTAGTAGCACGGAGTCTGGAATTGTGCCCGGTATATGGCAATAGGCTCACCCCCTATTACATGGGACTCACATTGTTACACGGTGTTACATTGCACGGTGGCAATGTGCACCTCTGCCTACCCCTTCGGGGATAAAAAAGCGTGATGTTATGTTATGTAACTAAGTATGCCAGTTTTCATCTAGAACAAATATGGGTTATTACCTTTGATCTCAATTTTTTCTTTCATTACACTAACTAAATCAGATCATCTTCTTGCAGAGTTAGCAGGGCTCAGTATGATGTATATAGGTCACGAATGATAAAAATCAGTTTGGAGATATTACACCACGTGAAAGCATCTACCATTTTTTTATTACCATCCATCAACGGTACTAAAAAGAAATCCCTAAATTATCGCTCTTTTAAACCCCCAAAAATTCCCGATCCATATAAGAGTTTTTTC